AATTCTCGATCTTTTCCGTGTAGTCAGGCCGGACAGAAACCACAGCCCCTGATCCATTCCATGCGCATACAACTTCTAAGAGAATCTCGATCTTCCCAATAGGGTCATCCACGGGAGCCTCGGCATCCTTCAAGATCTTATTGAATGTTTCAATATAGGCCAGACGTTGCTTTTCGAGCTCTGCAAATTTTGTGGAGATCATCGAGCCCAGGATCTGTCTGTTACGGAAGGTGGCAACTGAAGTTGACATAGGACGGATATGGTTTAGAAAGAAGGAATGAAATTTTCCACAGAATATTGAGATATCTCTCTATTTCCGGAATACAAGGATATGCTAATCGCTCTTTGAGGCAAAGGCGATTATATCTTCAGAGTCAAAACCAAATGTTGTAATTCTGCGCATAAGGCGAGAAAATCTGCCATAGGCTGATTTCAACCTACAATGTACTATGTAGATCATATCAGCGCATTGCTTAATGCCAATATTTTATTGTGCTTACGATATGATTGGCGGTCGGCAACTCCTACCTAAAAGGTGTGAAGGGTGCTTATCTGACTATCCTAATAACGTGCACATCTGCGTGAAATCATCTCCACAGCTCGAACTTGAGCCTCGAAAATTATAAAACTATTTCGATAATTCTAGTATAATATATACTAATAGCGGCATGTACAAAATAAAGTATGTTTCCTTGTCTAAAGGTCATTACTGATTATTCGGTCTCCACTGCATTTCCTCCTGCCCTCCGGCCTTCATCTTTATTCTGCTGGGGCATATTCTGAAAGAATATCCTCTTAGTTTCATCTTCGAATCGACATTCTCCTTATTTGGATTGGAATCTGCGTGAAGTGAAAGAGAATGCAAACGTGCCACCTCCAGTACGGCTTTTTGAGCAGTTGATCTTCGTCGTTATGGGCCCTGGGTAGCGCAACGCAAGGTATTTCCCATTTGACACGTGAATAGATGCCAAGAAGGTCGTAATTCTGCCAGGGATAGACAGATTTAACCGCGTTGAACAGGACACGACTGTGACGGCGAGAGTCACGACGGAGGCAAAGACGAAAGAGGAGCGAGGACAAACAAGTAATAACAAAGGAATTCTATCACTGGCGTTGACTGTGCGAGGAACCTACAACTGTTCCTCGTTCGTTATATACATGTGAGTAATAAACTACTAGAATATTCGTGAAATAATCGATTTGTAAATCTGAGACGAAACTTAGTAATTACTACTCTTAACCTTTGATGTGTCACACATGTGATGTGACCATCACAACGACGCGTTAATTACCTTAGCGCCCGCTGTGCCTGCCTGTTGCATCTGTCAATATGGCCCCAGCGCACTGTCATAGATAATATTCAACCAATCAATAAATCTTCTCTTAAAAATAGCTCCGGGAAAAACTTTGAGAACAGTTTTCTTTTAATACACCCCTCTAAATTGATATAATTTATTTTTATTTTATCTAATTAAAATGGGTCTGACCCAGCAAAAGTATTCACAAGCCTCGAATCAATATATATTTTCATGAATTATCTATATTTTTACATGATGTCTGCTATACTATTTGTATTAGAATTCATTAAAACATGGTTTTTCCTCTGCCAGAGCCTGTGGGAACCTAAGTGTCGGAGTCTGAAAATGGCAGAGGTTGTCTACCGCCATTCAATACTGATATCATGCCGTGTGAACCGATGACCATCATCCGGGATGTCAAGAGATTCTTTTGAAGAAAAACTTGGTCACAAATGATAGTCACTGCAGCTCGGGACCGGGATAGGAGTCATAGTGAAAATGCGAGTTAGTGACTCGAGTCCTGCCCTCATGATCATAGCTTCCGTGAAAACTTCTGTTAAACAGTTGCGAAAAGGAAAACCAGGAATACACTAAATAAGCTCCCACTTAGCTTAGCTAACAACCAGCAGATTCCATGATTTCAGTGAGTATCCGGACATACCATCATATCGATATCGAACCGATTTCTCCTGATATTTGTTTGTGGTACGTACGTATCCGTTTCTTCTGGCTAGAGTTCGCATTGCCATTGCATTGCCAAAAGTGATGGTACCGAAATAGGATTATGAGCCTACAGCCGCCCACAACCCAATGTCCCTCGACGTCGGTGCTGTGGTGGACGACGCAGCTGGTACTTCCTCATCGTTAGACTTCTTAACATCTCTAGAAGAACATACGGATATCGCAGAATGGATAAACGACCTCCTAGATACTCGAAGTAGCGTTCAAGACGTCACATCGCTCACTACGCGTCTAGAAGTTGCATGTCAGGACACATCGAGTCAGCTGGAACGGACTATCGATGACATTTCTAGGACGGTTCCACGACTTACATACGATCTTCATTTCCTCAGGGAATCTACTCTATCCCTCAAAGTTGCCCTGTCGTTCCTCCAGACGCGTTTGGCGTCGTCTCTTGCTGATGAAGATACCACGAAGGCTCTGGACCGTTTGGCCAATTTGGATACCATCAAGCGACACATGGAATCCTCGCGGGATGTGCTGAAGGAGGCGGAGAGTTGGAGTACAATGGAGCCCGAAGTGACAACTTTGCTCGCTGAGCTACAGTATGCCAAGGCAGCCGAACGGCTTGCTGAAGCGCGACGTAGCATACCAGTATTCCAGAATACACCGGCATACGAGCCTCGAAGAGCTCTTATGACAAGTCTTCAAAATCAGCTGGAAGCGGCTCTCAGTGCCGCTTTGGTCGCGGCCATTAACAAAAGGGATATCGGAGCCTGCAAGAGCTATTATGGGGTCTTTGCCAATATCCAGCGGGAGGCTGAGTTTAGGAACTACTATTATGGGTCAAGGAGATCAACATTGGTGAAGATGTGGTCTGAAGCAATCCTCGTAGATATTGACGGTGAAGAACCCTCTTCCGCAAACGGCGACTCTACTTCAACCTCCCCAGTTAAGTTCACAACTCTGCTTTCGAACTTCTTCACTTCCTTCCTTGCACTTTTGGATGAAGAACGGACATATATATCATCTATATTTCCTGATCCTCAACAAACCCTCTCCGCCTTCGTCCAGTCGACCATGGATGCGCTCACGCCACCGTTCTCACAACGCTTGTCAGGGCTAGTGGACCACTACAGTCTATCTGCTTTACCGGAGCTAATGATTGCTTTCCGATCCACCGAGGAATTTGCGGTTGCAACGGACAAGGTCCTCGAGAAAGTCGGCTACACTGCATTGTTTTCGCCCGCAATCGAGGAAGCGAATACTCCCCCGAAGACTCCAACTCATTCAAGAAGGCTTTCGAAAAGAATGTCGATGTCGCGAAGGCTTAATTCAAATCGATCACAACCTTCGATAAGCGGCAAGATTGTAATGGGTACTTGGGAGCAAGTCCTGTTCGAGCCATTCTTGGATTTACAAGCGGAATACGAGCAGCTGGAAAAGAGGATGCTAGGGAAAGGGCTGGAGGATTTAAGGATAGTGAGTAAGGATGTTGGTGGTGAAGAACAAAACAGTGCAAGGGCGTTCAGAGCTCAAAGTGTGGATGTATTTTCTTTGGCAGAAGAGGCATTAGCGAGGTGTATGGATTTCACCCACGGATATGGGGCTGTTGGGATGTTGAATGCCATTGACAAACTTCTCGGGGCATTCCTTGACGACGCAAGAGTAGACCTAACGTTGTCTTCACCCTCCTCGTCTATATCGCATTCCACCGTTCCCGACGAAGCACTCCTTACGGATCTGGATTATACACCGAATGATTGGTATACGATACAACGCGCGCTTCACATGCTGGATGCCTGCCGAGCAGTCAATGAACGACTTGGTCTTCTGACACAGAAGATCCGCGGAGCCCTTGTCCAGGTTGCTAGCGCATTCAAGTTAGGAAGACAAGACTCTCAAGGTGTATACATTGCCGGCACGACTAGAGGCGAACTCCAGCTCCTCAGTCAATCGACGTTGAACTCTGTCGAACTGAACACTCTTTTAGATGGGCTTGACTTTTCCGGAGCCGGTAACACCAACTCTGCGTTGGTGACTACGCCGTCGCCATCTATTACCCCTGCGATACTTACACCAGCCGGCGTACCGAACAATACCTCTGCATCTGCATCATCGCATCTGCTTCTAGGTGCTCAGACTGCTCTCCAGTCTTTGACCCGATCCGCTCAATCCACTCTTTCATCAACCCTGTTATCACCTCTCATGCGCCATCTGACAACGTATACCTCATTGAACACGTGGTCGTCTCCAGGAAGTTCTACATCATCGTTGGCTGCAAATGATCTGAAGATCCCAACCTTCTCGTTAAGCCCGACACCAACGATGCAACGACTCGCAGAAGGATTGCTCAACCTTCCACGGCTATTCGAAGTATACGCTGAGGATGATGCGCTCGCTTTCGGAGTAGCGTTACTGCCGTACGTGCAAGAAATGACTACCCAGGATTACCTTGGCGTGGATTTGGATCCAGAAGCGCATCTGGCTCCGGAAACCATTATTTCCATGTGGTTAACATCGTTGGCCCGCTCACTTTTGGCGCATCTGACGGATTCAGTTCTCCCATCGATAGAGAAGGGCAAGAGTGGACAAAAGACGCGCGGTTTGAGCCCTACGGGCCAGGCTCAGTTAGAGTCAGATATGGAATATCTTGGCAATGTCGTTCGGGCTTTAGGAGTTGAATGGGTGTGGAAAAATAGGAGAGAGAGTATCGAGGAGAACGGCGAGAAGACGGAAGATGGATCTATGAATGGAGAGACTCCGCTTAGTCCGACATAACTTGATAGCTGCTCCTTAATTATATTGTATACCTCTCTTAAGTTAATCTTACTTCTTTTCTCGCATAATTCCAATACTGAAGACGGAGTTCATGTCCGCGCGATCTTCCCTTATATTCCATGGGGTTTCTTAGACTGCTATTCAACCCCTGAATGCTAGAACAAATCATGGAATGTATTATATATATTTTTACAAACAACGTCAAGAAAGATGTGTGCGTAAAAAATAAATTAAAATATTTGCTCCCTGAGAGGCTCGAACTCTCGACCTTTGGATTATGGATATAATGACACCCTCATACACGAATATGAGACCAACGCTCTACCAACTGAGCCAAGGAAGCTATAATTAATTTAGGTTTAAATTGTTTTGTTTACACAGAGCGAATTGGCTGAGGCGCTCGTTACGTTATCGCCATGACCCGCGTCGCGAATTCCCTTCCTTCTCCATTATTCAAGCAAACGGGGTCAAGACTGCGCAGGGGGCGTGCGATTAGCAGCCTCCGGAATGTGCAGCCTTGTAGGATTACCCGCTGCCTTAGTATAAGGAGGAAGGAGAAGGGCACCGCCGCTGCCCCATTCGCCATCTGATTACGTTCCCCGCCGCTGTCGTGGAACCCGCTCGCTAACCTGAGACTCGCTAGTCTCCCGCGCTACGCATTTCTGCTTTCCCACCCACCGCTCCCCTTTGATTTGCCTAGAAAACATGTATCTCATTTCATTTTCATTTTTCTCCTCGCCTGGTTTCCTTTGTTTCTCTCCTTGCCTGTATTTCTTTCTCTTTTTCTCCTCGCTTGCTTAGGAAAGTTTCACATTTAAAATTCATGTATCTCGTTTCGATTTATCTCTATATTCGTTGCCTTTGTATTTTGCCTCAGGGGAATTATCAATGAAAAATATTTGGATGGCGCGAAGCGCCGAGTACCACCTATCGCATCGTCCTATTATTTTCACACTGCACTCTTCCAATGCGACCACTTTGTCATAATAGTCTCACGGCGCCACGTTCAAGTGACTGTGGCACCGGGCATTCATCACACAAAGCGTGACATTACTAGGCACGCGCTCAGTCGCGCTCCCGAACACTGAAAGACGGCCAGCACCGTCAACCAAGATGGCTCTCTCAAATATTGCTTCAGATTGGTATGTTTCCGTATATCTATGCGTTCCTTGAAGTCTAACCAAACTCCTTACCCCCAGGTTGCTGGTCGTCTCGTCAGTTATCTGCGTGCTTCTCGCGATAGGCTACCTGTTCTTCTTCAACCGACTAATAGCCCTCCTGATATGTTATATGATACGATTAAGTTGGTGGGATGAGGACAATGGCGGTGCATGGGTGACATTGGGTATGTACGCCTTTCGTTGTAATAACCCCATATGAATGACATGGTTCTTGGTTTAGAGGCATTCCAGATTTCTCTTTTAGCAGGCCGGATTATGATTAAGGACCTTAGATACCATGGAAGCTGTCAATCATTTAGAGCTATAAAATGCAGTATTACGTGGCGTTATTGGATGTGGAGGACGCGTGAAGGATATGTAGAGCGTGGTGGGGAGCCAGAGACGAAGGGTATGTTTGTGTTCTATTTGCCCCATTAGGAACCGTATTTCATACCTCTCAATCCATCAGGCAATTCAAATCCGCCAAACCTTCCCACTCGTATCCATATATCGCTGGAGGGAGCTGAATGGCGGTTATACAACCGAACAGCTGCATACGAGAATATCCTCTCTAGACTCCAACGAGAAGCGCAAGCTAATGGTCCCCGAAGCAGTATGGATGGGTTTAGTCGCTCAGACTCGATGCCTTTCTCTGCAGTCGACGGTGCGACGGTTTCGAAAAAGACAACGATAGCTTGTTAGTCTCCCATCTTAACGTTGCTACATTTCCTAATCTTTGTTTTCATAGCTACCAACGTGGATACTGTAGAAATTCAACCTCTATCACGTGGTCCTCTTCGAAGTTGGCTCTGGCTCCGAAAGCAAAAACTCGCGAAATGGTTCCAAACTTTAAAACCCGAATTCCAAGAGATTCTGCCGGTCGATTTGAGCGTTAACCGAGGAGCGATAATTCTGGGCAATTCTTCATCACCTTCACTTCTTGTGGCCACGTTTTCCAGGGCCAATGGATCATACAACATTGCTACGGTATGTTTCATTCTTTGTGTAACGTATATTTAATCTGATTCTTTGTCCATTCTATATAGTCTCGATCCCAGTATGATAAATTCAAGACGGTCATAGACGCCAGTCTTCAAACTGTGAAGATCGATTTTCAAAGGAATTCCAAACATCGCGGTCCTATGCCCTTTCAAGGCAGAGTCGCCATACGGCAAATGTTCAGGTGAAATTTGATGGGTTTATTTAATGTCTAGTTCTAACAAAAATTTTGTTTCAGAGATATACGAGATAACGTGTTTTCGCGTCTGACTTTCACTGCCTTTCATCGATTATGGAAAGGTATCAAGCGTGAAGATGTCGAGGACAAAATAGATGACGCCTATTCCCGATCAGTGGATGCTGACCAAGCTACCTCGCAACAAAGTGATTATGCAGTGGATGAAAACATACTGGAAACTCCAAAATTGGAACTCTCATATTACTGGGATGAACCAGGTAATACTATCATTTTCTTATCGTTGTACTGGTATTAATATCTTTGTAGGCACGGTCCCTTCTGTAGAAACTAAGTTTAATTCCGAAGGCTTGGAACCACATATCGGAAATGGCGACTTGTCTCCTCAATATGGCATGGATCTTGTTATTTATGGCGGGACTGTTCGGTATGGGCCATGGGCAGATCGCCAGAGGTTTGTAGTTTCTTCCTTTTTCTTGGAGTACGTTCTAATAATTTATCCATTAGATATGAATTGCAACGTCTCTTTTTCCCTCCGACTTATCAAACAGTTACTCCAACTGTGATGCTACAGCCGGGTGATACTCGTATTTACACTTCGCTGAAGGTTTTTGTTGAACTGCGGGATACAACGACATTACATATCCCTTTCCGGGAACCTTCTAAGGTAGTCTATCAAGATACGTGCACGTCTTATGGCTAATCATGTCGTAGAATTGGCAATATGATGAAACCAAAATCCCAGGCTCATCGAGGAAGCGCAGGGAGGCAGGCTGGTTAGAAATCCACGCTGGAGGAAATTCGACTATTAATTACGTCACACCTTGGGTCGCGACTGAAACCGGATTCGACACAATCGTAGAACTGCATTTGGATGAAGTCAGCGTGTTGACGAGTGTTAATGACATACGGGTCATTTTGGCCCAATCAGCGAGGGTGGGTATTCCTCAAGAAATATTTTCTCAATTATACTTAAATTGAGAACAGGTTCACGGCGAACTTCCGACACCTTTGAAATGGAACGACCATCGTCAGTGGTCCTTTGACGTCTCGTTCCAAACGCCTGTGCTACATTTAATCCGTGATCATATCAATTTGTTCACCGATCTGGGCAAAGACTGGAGTTCGGGTCCTCCCAGTGACTTTGATAGATGGATACCGATGGTCTACCGTGTCAATGTAGCCATGAACGACTTTGACATCCAGTTGTACCTAAACGACCAAAACATAATAACAAATCCACACGCGAAAGAGGCAAATAGTACGTTGGAAATTTTTGAGGTTTCTACTGTGTGTATTAATATGATTTATCTAGCTTTCCTTGCTCTTCGAGGCCACACCTTGCATAACTCTGTTCAAATCCCTTCTAACGTCTTTCGACCTCAACATACTGTCATACCATTCTGCATTGAAATTCCCGGTGTCGACATATCTTTGACCCTCCCCAAATGGAATACTCATTCTGTTTTCGCTTCGACGCGCACAACTGATTTTGGTCGGATTGGATCCCTCAAAGTGGATGCATCATTCCTATACTACTCGGAGACACGACCCGACTATATTGATCGGCTCAAATTGGACCTTCACGTTGGTGGTTTTCATATTTTGCAAATATCTAAGTTAGCTGACTGTACTTCAGGCCCACGATCTCGTCTTTGTTGCGTTGGGATGGGTTATTCGGCATCTGATGACAATTAGAGACAATTACTTTGGAAATTTCACTCATTTCTCTACGTTATATGAATATGTATCGAGAAGAAGTCGAAATCAACCTTTGGGGGATCCTGTAGAATTGAAGTGGCAAGAAGGAAGGGTAAGTTCCCGGTCCTTTAACCATACTTAGCGCTATTCTTATTTATTTTGCCTTGCCGACAGTCGAACGTTTTCGAAGTCCATCTAGATGTTCTTGTGGAGCAGTCGGTTATGATCTTGCCCGCTGGTCTTCAAGGCTATGAATTTTCAAACGACTATTTCATAGAAGGAGAGGAACGACCAACTGTCGATCCCAAATCCATCGGGACTGCTGCTGTTTTGCTGATGCCAGAAATTCAAGTTGGTTTGCGAACTCATGATTATGCCATGGGTACAACCTCAACAAACTATTGGTTATATCACGATGCTGAATATTTCCACAGAAATGTCGTTCAACACTGCCCCTGTGACACTCTCGGTGGTACAAGATTTGGTTCATGATTTAGCCTATGCGCCGTATCAAAAGATGGGCAAACAAAAATTCCATATAGATGGTACGTGCTTCACACGTCGGAATACGACGTCATCTATTAAACTCTTTTAAGGTATCAATGTTGTGGCGAATCGTTTATTTGGGCCCCAACCTCGAACCTCTACATATCTATGCCTCTGGGAATTTAGCATAGGAGGAATAGGAGGTTTGCTCACGACGTCAGAAATTCAGGGACTGGCCGCGGCCCTGTCGTCACTCCGATTCAATTATACTGATGCTCCGAATGCACCTGCTGCCGAATTTACTTTGCCATCGGACCCAGATGGTCTGTATTTCTTTCTTTCTTTGCAATATTCCATCTTAATTCATTTCCTCTAGTCACTTTCCTCAAGGTTGTCGTTCGAAATGTAGACGTTGCCTGGACTTTTGGTCGATCCGCCCTACAAATCTGCCTCCCTCGTGGCGTCCAATTCGATTACAACGACCTCCCTGGGAAGACGTATAAGAAAGTTTCTGAAATTCGAGTTCCTGAAGGTCTCTTTAGAGCACTCATACAATCAGAATCACGTCGCGAGGCCTGGCTAGAAGCAGGATCTTTGTCGCTAGATCTGCTGGTGGATCTCTACTCAGTACCTGAAAATTGGCAAGAGAAGGCGAAGATGCAATTGGCGTTTGTCTCTGCTCAGGATAGCCCAACACGCCGAGCATGGTTCCTTTACGATAGAACTGCCGGGGGTCCTAATCGTGGTAGGCGACATTTTACTTCGAATGAGGCTTTCTATCAACTTTTGACTGCTCTACAG